CGCGGAGCAATCTGTGGAGCTGGAAGCTGAGAACTGGCGACTTTGTAGTACAACTTTAGTACGCGGAGGATCTGGAGAGCTGGAAGAGGAGAACTGGCGAAGTTGTAGTACAAATTTAGTACGCGGAGTATCTGGGGAGCTGGAAGATGAGAACTGGCGACTTTGTAGTACAACTTTAGTACGCGGAGCAATCTGTGGAGCTGGAAGCTGAGAACTGGCGACTTTGTAGTACAACTTTAGTATGCGGATGAGTCGTGCTCGCGGCTGAGTCATCTCTCGCGGCTGCTCTGGCGAGTCATGTCTCCCGACCACCCGGCTCTCTTTTGAGAGGTTGACACACACACACACAGACCCACACACTGCCTCAACTCACTCGACTTAACACTTCACACTGAACACTTAACAGATAACTCACACTCTGACTTCCTACATGATGAAAATGCTTTCGGGCCACTTGTCGTCTAGTTTGTCCAATCTTTTTGCTATTTTTTTCACGGGTGCGCTTTGCCAGTTGAGCTCTGCTTGAGATTTTTCACCAGTCTTAGGATTGGCAGCTTAAGCTCGTTCCCTGTGCTTTTCTTCAGCAAGAGCGAGCCGAAGGAGGACAGCCCAGGTGCAACTAGTGACTAGTGAGAGTCTGTGTTTTCCAAGTGGTTGCTCAGGGGCCCCTTAGTAGCTTGTTGTTGACACAACTCCAGGTCAAGTAGCTAGAAGTCAACCAGGCACACCTCTCAGCCACACCCACTTCTGATTCCACCGGCTATGAATCACTTGAGATGGAGAATTACTTCTACACAAAATTCATAGGTTGGAGGCCATCGCTATTGGAAACCAAGGTAAAAGAATATGAAGAAAGGTCTAACTGGACGTCCTCGCTTTGAGGGTAGACGTCGCAAGGTGTCGCAGCGCCGACCGCTTGGCCTGAGCCCCCGCCCGCCGCGGCCGTGCCGAAATCGGCGGCTGCGCCAAAGCCTTCGCCAGCCCCGAAACCCAAGGCGAAACCTTTGAGCCCCAGGAGATCGGAGCGTTTTGTTTGCTTCTCCGAGTATTCAGAGTATGCCGGCCTTACCCCAAAGATACACCAGCTTGAGGCATTTGAAACCATTTGAGGAGCCAAGTACGTCAGCTGGTTGGGACGCGCATGAGTGAAGAACAAGCCACAAAGGTGCGTCGGTTCAGGGCATTTCAGTGAACCTGTTGCCGAGTGACTACGGCCGTCAATGAAGATTTCAGCTTGATTCTTGTCCAAAGGCTGCCTTGGTAGCTGCCAAAGCCTTTTCTATTCTCGAGGCCGCTGAAAAGATCCTTGCACTGCGCTCCTATGTTGACCGCCTGGATCCGACCCTTGGCAATGGGCCACCCGTCCCCTGACCTAAGGGCCTTCTGGACTTTGTCAGAGTCTAGTTAGGGTATGGAGTTGATGGATTTGATGGGATGGTTTGGGATGAGGATCGACCTGGACGAGATGTGGGGCTTCTTTGATTTGGATGCCCCTGCAAGCCGCAGATCGATGGACGCCAGTGATCCTCTCTTGCAGAAGCTGAAGGGGAAGCTGAATCGGCAGCGGCTTCTTTTTCATCCAGATAAGAATGGCCACCCAGAGGCAATGGTCGTTGTTGGGGTGGCAAGATCTTTATAAAAGGTTGTTGCTGTGCAACCCAACTTATCAGAAATCTCTTGATAACCACATCGCGCCATTCACCCCTAATTGTCAGACAGTTTGCCTCACATGGCAGGCAGAGAAGACCTTCAAATTCTTGGAGGTTTGCCATCGCAAGCTCATGACTGCATACACCCGCCAAACCGAATCTGTCCATCAGCGCACAAGACGCGAAGAGGAAGAGCTCAAGCAGGACAGGGCACGTCGTAGGCAAATTGATCGTGAATGACTTCCTCTCATTGGACGGCTAAAGTCTTTACCTTTTCCAAGTCAATGAGCAATAACAACTGAGGCATTCTTGAAAATTCCAGCAAGCTGTCGATGAATACCTCCATCCACCAAGTTTCTTCTCCTTTCCCTCAGAATAGCTTTCCTACCCAAATACCCAAACCAGCTCACTCGCAAGCTGTTTGGGGAAATACGCCCTGTGGCCATCATAGCCATAGCCATTGTTCAGTGATTGTGGTAGGAGGAGGCCCGGCGCCAGAAGCAAGAAGCTGAGCGGCGAGCACAGATGGTCCTCTGATTGTGATACTGCCGTGGTGTGAAGAAATGAGTACATTGTAGTACATATGAAAAACACAAACTCTTAAAAATTTCAGTGCGCGTTCTTTTGATTGTCAAGTGACCAGGGTCAATCGAACAGGAGTGGATTTGGAAGTTTCAGAGGCGGGTCCTTTGTGGCTGGGAAATGGGTGCGAAGGAGCTCTTGGAGAAAGAGGAGGAGGAGAAGATGCGGAGATTGGAACTGCACCAACAACGGCTGGACCAAATGCTTGAAGCCAAGCGGTAGCATGGCATCAAATGTGAGAACTGGGGAGTGAGAACAATGCAATACAGGCCCTATTTGGCACCGCCCGAATACGAGTGGTTTGGGTCAGCTACCTGCAAGACGAAGTCAGGCTTGTGTGTATTCCTTTTACAGGCTTGCACCAATCCATGGTAGATTCGACACTTCCATAGTCCGTTTTGAGCAAGTCAAAGATGAATGGCCTCAAGCAAACCATGACAAACACACACACACACATATATATATATATGCATGCACTATACGCATCTGCATATTACAAGTTATAAGTTGACGAGAGCTTTTAATTCACATGTAAATGGCCATGCACACTGAGGGAATCACATATTGAAACAAAACTGGTTGTTTCAATGCGGAATCTGAGCAAAGATGGGTTCTTGGCTGAGTCCCTTACTACCGACAGCACTTGACCCATGTCTTGTGTCCCAAGCATGATTGGAAGCAATAGGGGGGGGCTTTTGCAGTTTGCCCTTATGGCTTTGGGGTTCAGCAGGGATTTGTCACCTGTGCCCTCTCACAGCTTGTGAGGTCTGCCTTTGAGGCGAAGCACAACCAATCTCAGCGACCTTGCAGCATGATTGTGGGGTGGTTTATTCAATCGCTACAGTGGAGCGTGAATCAGGCGTCGGGCAAGCAACAGTATGTGGTGTTTCTAAGCAAGCGGGAGTATGTGGTTGCTGCCCCAAGCCGGAACAACTTACAAAGTTATGCTTGATTTGCATATGGTGGCTTCAAGGCATGCTTGTTGCCCGTGGCAACCGGGACCATGTTGGGAACATGAACACCAACGGGACGGAATGTACTTGCAATGTTTCAGAGTTCTGTGCATGCGGCTGACGGACACTTTGGTGCACTTGCAGCATGCGTTTGCGGATTTGCCCAGTGCAAAGCTCCGCTTCGCATCACTTGACCTCTCGCAGTCGTCCCAGGGTGGTGAGCCGGACGACTTCCTCAGATCCGATTGTCAGCCTGTTCACAAGCTGCGGAAGTTCCAAGAGCATCCTCGGGAAACAGGCGGGTCTCATCCGGCCTGCTGGAACAAACGGGGAGTCGGTCCTTATGAGATTGTGTTTGTCATCGATGCGACATGACACATATCGAGGACCATTGCACTCATAGCTTAGAAAGGGAGCGGCTCGCTCAGCCAAACTGGCCACAAGTTTCACGGAGCCTCCTCAAAACACACCGAAAAAGTGTTGCAAGGGACAAAGCTTGCAAGCTGCTAAGGAGGATGCTGAAGAGACTGCAGTGATTGGGCGTTTGACGGTGCACCTGCGGGCAAGAGATCTACCTGTGCCTGAGTGCCTAGGTGGCAGACAGGTGAGGCCTTTGGTTGTGTTTTCTTTGTCTTTGTAGTCGATTTCTTACCACAAAACGAAGCAGTCACCACAGAAATCTCCAATTAATTGAGGGTCTTTTCCAAGGCAAGGTGAAAATAAAGTTAGATCCTATTTAACAAATTCTTACAATCTATGGCCTCCTTGCAGTCTTACGTAACTGATGTTCGGAAGAAGCTGATTCTGAGAAGCCGGAGAACTTTGCATTTGCATGTTCATGTTTCTTTGCGTTGCCCAGTTGTCAAGTGCAAGGCTCCTTTTTGCGGGTCAGCACTATGCGATCCTGTATCTTGACAAAACTAGTTAGTGAACGCAAGTGCTGGAGTGGGGGATGGTTCTGGCTGGACAAACTGAAGAACTGCCTGCATTGTAGACGATGGCAAGATCCATGCCAAGTCGTTGATTAGGAGCTGGAAAGGTGACCAGCAATTCTCCAAATCTAATTTCTCAACCTCTGGGCAATTGGCGGTCCAAGACCAGCAAACAAAGAAGCACACATTTCTGCTAAGGAGTGTGGGAGACCAGAGCTTCGAGACGAAGAGAGTACCGGGACAGAATTGCCAATGGGATGCAGACTATGTTTTCCAAATCCATCGGGTCGACACCGCTCTAGCGGAATCTTGGCCGAACATATGCAGTGTGCAGCACATGCAGGCATATAAATTGTTTCTACTAGCCTCTTGTTACTACTAGTAAGGCACTTGTTACTAGTAGCGATGCACTTCTTCCTAGTAGCTTATTGTTTCTAAAGACAAGTTGTGAGATGTCGACATTTGAGATGTGATCACGAAAGCTAGCATGCTAGCTGAGTTCTTCTTTGCTTTAGCAATTGGTAGTGGGATGAGCTGTGTGCCTTAAAGCTTGATATATCACACTAGGGGGGGGGGGGGCCGGCCCCCCCCTTAGGGGGATATTTTACCCCCCCCCCCCCCCCCGGTTTGACTCCCAGCTGCGCCGTGTAGGGGGTTAGTTGAACGTGTGAACGTGGTTGGTTGGGTGTAAACGGTGGCTTGGTGTAAAGGGTGCTGCTGCTGCCGCTCTGCTGCTTGCTGCTGCTGTTTGCTGCTGCCGCTGGTTGCCGCTTGTGTAGCTGCTGCTTTGCTACTTGTTGCGGCTTGGTGCTGCTGCTGCTGTTGCTGACGACGCCGCTGCTGCTGCTGCTGCTTGCTGCTTGCTGCTTGCTGCTTGCTGCTTGCTGCTGCTGCTTGCTGCTTGCTGCTTGCTGCCGGTGGTGCTGCTGCTGCTGCGGCTTGATGCTGCGCTGCTGCTGCGTGGTGCTGCTGGCTGGCTGCTGGTTGGCGGTTGCTGCTGGCTGCTGGCTGCAGGCGGCTGCTGCTGCTGCTGCTGCTGGCTGCTGCTTGCTGCATAGGACTTGTACTTCACCGTTACAAGTTGTTTACCCCTATTTCTAACCTAATGCATGCATAAGCGGATGGTAAATTTACCCCCCAGGCTAACCATACACCGGCTATTTCCTCAAGACACTCTATTCTTGATACCTTTTACCAGTGCTTATCCTACACTACGGACGCCCTAGTGTATGCACAGTCCTTGTGATGCTTACCCCTCGTTCCGGCTCAAGGCATACATAAGCGGGGGTAAATTTACCCCCCAGATTTGCCATAACCATAAGCCGGCTATTTCCTCAAGACACTCTATTTATTCCATATACCTTTTACCCGTGCTTCTCCTACACTACGGACGCCCTAGTGTATGTACAGTCCGTATGATGTCAGAAATGCTTACCCCTTTTTCCGACTCAAGGCATACAAAAGCGGAGGGTAAATTTACCCCCCAGATTTGCCGATCACGCATCTTCGTGCCTGCCAACGAGTGCACCCGGGTTGTTCCAATGTACCCTTCCCAGTCAGCGATGTCACATTTACATTCTTTAGCGCAAAGTATGTACATAGCAACCTTCCTCCCAAAACATGTAATCCCTACATGTTTTGCCGACTATGTAACTAGTACATCCGGTGCGATTCGGCTAGCTTTCGACCTCCTCCCCCCTGGCCTCAAGTTCCACCATACAGCAACGACATCGACGCGATGCGCTGCAGCTTGAATCATCTCGAGGTCAGTGTTCTTCGGGAAGGTTGGTTTCAAGATTCCTCCTTGGGGAAGACGGAGATTCCCTTCCTCGACATTGAAGAGTGGTCAGGTTGCTCTTTCAGCAAGAATGCAAGAGGCTTCAGGTTTTGGACATCACTACGTGAGACTACGTCACTAAAAAGTCGCCTTTTAGAAACAAGAAAGAACGCTCTCTGTTCTTTTCTCCTTGTATTCCAATAAAGCTTGCAAGGCATTAGGTTTCGGACGTCACGATACTTCAACGTCACCAAAAGTCGCCTTTCCTTTCATCTTACTAGAGGACTCCTGAGGGACCTTCATTAGTGAAGATTTCCTCACGTAAAAGTGAGCCTAATAGCGATGGCCTCCAACCTACTGGCGACGATCTCAAACCTAAGAGCGATGGCCTCCAACCTACTAGCGACGATCTCAAACCTAAGAGCGATGGCCTCCAACTCCAACCTATTAGCAATTAGTGAAGATTTCCTCACGTGAAAGCGAACGTAATAGCGATGGCCCCCAACTCTTAGCGATGGCCTCCAACCTCTTAGCGATGTCCTCTAGCCTAAGAGCGATGGCCTCCAACCTACTAGCAATAAGTGAAGCGAACCTGATAGCGATGGCCTCCAACCTCATCCTGATGGCCTCCAACCTGAGAGCGATGGCCTCCAACTCAAGAGCGATGGCCTCCAACCTAAGAGCGATGGCCTCCAACCTACTAGCAGTTAGTGA